ATTGTCATGATTTCCTTTATTCTCTGTAATGCTTTAAATACAGCGATATATATTTTGGATAAATGCATTAACGGAATAAACCTAGTGATGATTAAAGGTTAAGTCCGTTTAGTGAATATCGATATTTAAATTACGGATTTCACATTTCATTAAAATTTGCTTTATTCCATTAAGGGGATGTAAAATGTTAAATGTTTTCCCATAGAAAGGGAGAAGGGGGTATAGAAACTTTTATGCTTATAATTTTATTGCAACTTAATTTTATGGCTTTATTCCGTTTATTGCTTTTAAATATGGCGATATATTTAGGAGAAATGTCTTAAAACGGAATAAACCAAATTATGATTGAAGGTTAAATCCGTTTAGTGAATTTCGATATTTAAATGACGGATTTCACATTTCATTGTAATTTGCTTTTTTCCGTTTATGAGATGTAATAATGTTAAATGTTTTTCCACATGGGAGAGGGGGGGGTATATAGAAACTTGTATGCTTATAAATTTATTGCACCTTCATTCATTTATGGCTTTATTCCGTTTGTTTTAAATAAGGCGATATATTTAGGAGAAATTTTAACGGAATAAACCAAATTATCTGTAACTCTCAAATTTTAAATAACGTACTTCAATTTCATAATCTGGTTCATTTTTAAAAAAGTAATAAACGGAATAAAACCATAAATGTAAGGTTGCAATAAATTCTGAAGCATACAAGTTAATACACTTTTTAGAAAAATAAGCTGAATATTTTTTTGGACTTTCTGGGAGTAATGGAGCAACAACGGAATGAGGATTTGGATAGCGAATACGGTTTACAATGCGTATCTAATGTCTATGAAAAGTGTTCACCGAGGTTAACATCGTGAAAAACTGAACTGACAAAACTTAAAGCATGACAAGACACAATAACAAAAAGGCAAAATTTTAATAACAATGAAAATACTAACATAAAAGAAACAGAAATCTTATGGATTTGCGAGTAATTATGTGTTTTTGTTGTAAAATTTATTACAAATGGAACATTATTTACGGAATAAAGCCATAAGGATATTTTGGTATGTTCTGAGCTAGTTAGAATGATCTAACTGTGTCTCGGTACAAGCCCTCACCACAGTTAGAATACGTCCCATATACTTGCAATGTAGCAAATCGGAGCGGATCCGCTCCGAAACGATTTCGAAGAATATAAAAGGATTTGCACTGGAAATAACTACCAAATTAAGGGTACCTGTAGAGTGCGAAACGAAATAGAAACGAAACGAACTGAAACGAAACGAAATCTACCGAAACGAAATTAACCTACCGAAACGAAATGAAGTCAAGACGAAATGAAACGAAATCAAAACGAAACCTGCCGAAACGAAACGAAACAAAACTATCAAAAGGTTTTGTATTTTTTCAAATCAAGGTACATTGTACATGTATATAATTATTTATCCCATGTTTACCCTTTATCCCGTGGATATAGCTCATGGGATATCGTTTTCATATCCCACACTTAAGTGGAGTTATGACGTCACAATGGTTTTTGCGTTAGCGTGATGAAGTAAAATATAGCAGTGTCCCATATAACAAGAGGCCCATGGGCCACATCGCTCACCTGAGCACTAAGGGTAGGAAATAGTAGAAAATGGCTTTCTATTGTAAAGTTTAAATCCAAAAGTAGTCCCATGACAAATCATGGATTTGCTATTTTTAGAAAATGATTTTTAAAGAATTTTCCTATATATATCTTTAAAAACTTTGGTCAGCCATTTTGACCCCGCCCTACCCCATGGGGTCATGATTTGAACAAAATTGAATCTACACTACTTGAGCATGCTTCCATAAAAATATGATGAATTATGGCTTTGTCATTCTTGAGAAGAAGATGTTTAAAGATATTTCCTCTTTCTATGTAAAACTTTGTCAGCCATTTTGGCCCCGCCCTACCCCTAGGGGTCATGATTTGAACACACTTGAATCTACACTACCTGAGCATGCTCCCATATAAATTTGATGAATTATGGCTTTGTCATTCTTGAGAAGAAGATTTTTAAAGAATTTTCCTATATATTTCTATGTTAAATTTTGGTAGGCCATTTTGGCCCCGCCCTACCCCGGGGGGTCATGATTTGAACAAACTTGAAACTACGTACACTACCTGAGCATGCTTCCATATATATATGATGAATTATGGCTTTGTCCTTCTTGAGAAGAAGATTTTTGAAAGAATTTTCCTATATATTTCTATGTAAAACTTTGGTCGGCCATTTTGGCCCCGCCCTACCCCCAGGGGTCATGATTTGAACAAACTTGAATCTACACTACCTGAACATGCTTCCATGTAAATATGATGAATTATGGCTTTGTCATTCTTGAGAAGAAGATTTTTAAAGAATTTTCCTATATATTTCTATGTAAAACTTTGGTCGGCCATTTTGGCCCCGCCCTACCCCTGGAGGACATGATTTTAACAAACTTGAATCTACACTACCTGAGCATGCTCCCATATAAATATGATGAATTATGGCTTTGTCATTCTTGAGAAGAAGATTTTTAAAGAATTTTCCTATATATTTCTATGTAAAACTTTGGTTGGCCATTTTGGCCCCGCCCTACCCCCGGGGGTCATAATTTGAACAAACTTGAATCTACACTACCTGAACATGCTTCCATGTAAATATGATGAATCATGGCTTTGTCATTCTTGAGAAGAAGATTTTTAAAGAATTTTCCTATATATTTCTATGTAAAACTTTGGTCGGCCATTTTGGCCCAGCCCTACCCCCGGGGGACATGATTTGAACAAACTTGAATCTACACTACCTGAGCATGCTCCCATATAAATATGATGAATTATGGCTTTGTCATTCTTGAGAAGAAGATTTTTAAAGAATTTTCCTATATATTTCTATGTTAAAATTTGGTCGGCCATTTTGGCCCCGCCCTACCCCCGGGGGTCATGATTTGAACAAACTTGAATCTACACTACCTGATGATGTTTCCCCATAAGTTTCATCTTTCCTGGCACAGTGGTTCTTGAGAAGAAGATTTTTAAAATATGCCACCAAATTTTCATTAATTCCCAATTATCTCCCCTTGAATGAGGGCGTGGCCCTTCATTTGTACAAACTTGAATCCCCTTCCCCCAAGGATACTTTGTACCAAGTTTGGTTGAAATTGGCCCAGCGGTTCTTGAGAAGAAGTCGAAAATGTGAAAAGTTTACAGACAGACAGACAGACGGACAGACAGACGGACGGACAGACAGACGGACGCCGGACAAAATGTGATCAGAAAAGCTCACTTGAGCCTTCGGCTCAGGTGAGCTAAAAACAGTGTAAAACATCGGTTGTGAAGTATTAAACATGGGATAAAAAGAATCTCCCAAGATTTGTAGATGGATATGATTTTTACCCAACTCGTTGTGTGTTTTTATCCCCTCGCCAAGGCTCGGGGAAAAAAATCACACAACTCGTTGGATAAAAATCAAATCCAACTACAAATCATGGGAGATCCTATATATATGTGAACTGCATGGGGACTTTTTTTTTTACTTCAGTTCAAATAAAATTTATATAGTTCAAGCACTTGTTAATACTAAGTGTAAAATTTAATTACCGATAAATTATCCCTTCTCAGTCTAATGTATTTACATGTTTGCCAGCTGCAAATAATATGCACGAACGTACGATGCATGTATAGTTTCAATATGTGCAGTATTTTCTAATTTTTTATATTTTACTTTTATTTTCAGTATTTATTTATCTAGATACAACATATCTATCAAAATTGATGTGTTACAATTATGTACGGGTCGAAATAAAGTCACTGTACTGTTGTATTGCGAATGTCTTAAAACATAGGATAAACCAGAGACTTGGAGTATTTAGTATTCCATTCGGATTCCGAGGTGTCTGGTTTTATTGTTCAATTATACATGTACATGTAACTCCAACCGGAATCTTGTGTATCCTTTCTACGTACATACGGTCCTATTCTTTATCGAGGTAATTTCGAGCAAGAAATGAGTGGCTAGGAAGGGCTGCAAATTTAGGTCTATGTTCGACACTTACGGTCTTTGAGCAGGGAGGGATCTTTATCGTGCCACACCTGCTGTGACACGGGGCTTCAGTTTATACGGTCTCATCCGAAGGACAGCCCCATTTAGTTGCCTTTTACGGCAAGCAAGGGGGTATGAGGACCTATTCTAACCCGGATCCCCACGGGGCTGTATGAGCTTGAAGCGAAACAATTGCCTGTGGTGCTTGAACTAAATAAATTTTACATGAAGTAAAAATAAACCATATAAACATTAACATTCTGAAAAGTTTTGTTTCGTTTCGGGTTTTGATTTCGTTTCGTTTCGTCTTGATTTTGTTTCGTTTCGGTAGGTTTTGTTTCGTTTCGGTAGATTTCATTTCGTTTCGGCAGATTTCGTTTCGTTTCAGTTCGTTTCGTTTCTATTTCGTTTCGCACTTTACAGGTACCCCCAAATTAATCAAAACAAACCTTTTTGAGATTGCTTATGCCTTTTACTCCAGAAAATAATCAATCTAAAGACGAAAATCCAATTAATTTTCTCAACGTTTTTCTGTCGCTTCAAATTTACCTGCCATGCTTACATTCGGAACTCTCTAGATTGTTCGTAGTAAATGCACTGAGTTATAAGGAGTACAAGTTATCGCCCATGTTTCTTTTGCTACATTACGAATACACGGAACGAATTCTATCGTTAAACCGGGTCCGTAGGACAATATCATTTTAACGATAGAACGTTCTATCTAGTTCTGAGCATACAATAATGAATGTTTTTAAAGTAAAAAGTATTATAAATTTATTCATCGTGTATATACATATCTGGGCAATTTAGATTTATTCTAAAATCTGGAAAAAGTATAATATATAAAAAAACAAAGGTAAGAATTTGACGTTAACGTCAACAACGTCAAACTTTATGACTTCGCGAAGTCAATAACAGGATAATGCCCCTTTTTAAAATAAAAACTGCACTTTTTTACCTGGAAACTTGATTTTGTATTATGCTTTTCATAAAACCATGTTTCATATCGAGCTTCGATCGAAGACCAGTAGCCATGTTGTTTTTTTCTGACTAGATCATGCGTTATTTATTTCGTGAATAATTCTACTCGGCATTTTATTCTGTAAAAGTGCATGATTTTCCCTATCTATGTCGTATTTACAGCAAACATAAATAAGGAAAACAAGAAGATACAATATACTCAATATTTAAAGAACACTGTGCTAAAAAAAGGTGAAAAGCAAATATATTAAACGTACGAGTTGTTTAACTTTCTGCACAAAATTTGATGACGTTTTTCTCAGGAGAAACAAAACATGGCGGAAAATGTGGACTCAAACGACCAAAATACGACGGATAACCCGATAAAAGGCATACTAAAACGAAGAAAGAAAGAAGAGGAGAGTGCAGAAAATCCAGTGAAGTCAATTCTGAAAAAATCTAGGACTTCAAGCGAAGGAGACAAGGATGCATCTACGCAACAACCCCGCAGTATTCTGAGAAAGAGGTCTGACAACGCCGGCGAAGACTCGACAGAACAAACGAGCAAAGAAGACAGAGAAAAGAGTAAAAACTTGCCTGTAAAGGTTAAAGTAGAAAAGGATTTACACGAGCATGCAAAATCACCGAAAAAATCACCGGAAGGGAAACGGCTGCAGAATAAAGTCAAGGCGGAAAAAACATCACCCCCGTCAGTCCCCCTGAATGTAGATCTATACAATGAGGACGACGATGATTATGGTAAAAAGTCATTTTGAATTAATTTCCATTTAAGTTAAAAGATTTATAATATGATGACGGTGTGACTGTCAGGGCGAGCTCAGATACTTATTAAGTTTTCATTTAGAATGCGGGTGGTTTCGCTCCGATTACGTGTTCGCGCCGAGTGGTTTCGCTCCTATCACTTCTTCGCGCCGAGTGGATTCGCCCCGTGTGGGTTCGTGCTGCTGTATCACTGAAAATACCGCTATAATGAAAATTAACAAAATTCAAATTATGATATAGCATATAAATTGGAAATTGTTGATCAAAAAGATTCCAATGCCAGGTATAATTTCCTATAATATCCTTACTATCAGTATTCTTACATGTATTTTATTCTCTTATATAGTAAATATTAAACATGTGTATTTATTAATATTACTTGTACATGACTAGCAATAAGGTTATAATAAATTTATACACATTATATATTTATTTTAACATCCAGTTCTAAATTATTCCAAATTAAACGATCAATTTTGTTCAAATAGTCATAATTTGGCTAAAAATGGCCTCACTATAAGTATTAATACAAAATGGGATAATTATCCGACATAACACGACATTAACACTTGGGATTAATTAATTACAAACTACTAAGTTATAATTACAGGTAATTGGGGGAAGCCATTCTGTATACTACCCATATCTTACCTGTAGATAAACGGGGCGAAACCACTCGGTGCGATACCACTCGGCGCGAACACGTAATCGGCGCGAAACCACCCTACACCTTCATTTAGATTGACTCGTCAAACCGCACATGACTTTCAGTGTGTCTTAGATTCTGACATCACATGACGAAACCTGAACAGGGCTGATTTATTGAAGTATCATTTTAATTTTCTGCAATAAATTCATTAAATCAAGGCAAATTAATGATTCGTTTAACTTTGCTTTAGCTTTTGTGTACAAAGCGATGCATGGGTCCAAATTACTGTGGAAAAAAATTCTTTCCAATGAATGTGCAGTGATCCGAAATTTTCTCTTTGCCTAGGCATTGTTAGAGCTTGCAGTACACTGCGCTCACTAATATATTCGATGGTGAAACCACGCAATTCTTTTTTACAACCCTACACAACTCAAATGTCAAGTTGTGCATTATGCTTATGCTGTTACGGTTTACAGTAAACTCATAAATAACTGTTTTACAGTGTGACTTTTGGAGCGAGTGCGGTTATCAAAGTTGCACTTGAAACATTGATCAGCCACTTCAATATTTCAAACATCAAGTTGCACTTGAGATATCTCTACTAGCTGTGATGTCACACGAAGTAACGGCGCTTGTTGGTTACTGCTTCCAATGCAATTTTATCTATTATCATAATCAGATGTAATAGTTTTGTATACAAAAAGCAGACTTATATGTTGATGGTGTGACCGTTAGGGTGAGTGCAAATACTCATTCAGTTTTAATTCAGATCGGGCTTGTCAAACTGCATGTGACATTTGGTGCTTCTAAATTTTGGTGTCACATGATGTCGTCATTGTATGTTAGTTGCATTACCAAAAAGAAGCCTGAACAGTGGTGAGGGTAAATGAAAGCTGGTTTAATTACAATTTATCTTCAAAATTTACCCATTAAATCAATATGAATTAACTTTTTTTAAACTTTTGCTTTTATTCTTGCGAGAACGAAGTTGAGGATGAAGACATCAGTCATGATATTGAGCCAAGCCAAATCTCAGCCGAAATTAATGCAAGCTTTAATATTTTCCAGTGTTTCTGAATCATACTTAGTTTTTAAAAAAAACCTAAGTATCTTCAAACAGCAAACAAATTAAAAGTGCTATTATCATGTAAATGTTGTAATTGTAGAAGCTGTCCAAGATCCAAAAGTTGACAGAAGTCGATCCTGTCCTTATCTTGATACAATCAACAGGTACGCTTACTAACTTACTTAATTTGAGTACGGGTCATTACATGGATGCTTTAATACTTAATTCTTAGTACACATACTTTAAATTATTTATTAAATCACATGTAAAGTTTGACTTGTTTCATTACAGATCTGTCCTAGATTTTGATTTTGAGAAACTCTGTTCTGTGTCACTCTCTCACATTAATGTGTATGCATGTCTGGTGTGTGGGAAGTACTTTCAAGGTATTTGCTCTCATATATTATTATTGTATTTAAAATATTTTCACATGGTTTTGTACTTCTTCAATATTTTCTGATCCAGTTTTAGACAATTCTGGAAATGTTAAATTTTTATATTTCCATGGGGTATTTTACATCTTCCATATACACATGTATATAATTCAATCAAAAAAAGAATTATTTTATATTTTATACATTTAATTTAGTCATATTGATATAATTTGTAGTTACCAATGGATTGGTGAATAACCACTTTAATCTTACATAGTGTAATTTATTTTGTTTTGAAACAATGAACAAGGTGATACACATTCATGTGTATTTCAGGCCGTGGAAAACTCTCTCATGCCTATACCCACAGCGTACAGGAAAGTCATCATGTGTTTTTAAACTTATTGACACAGAAATTTTACTGCCTCCCAGACAACTACCAGATCATAGATTCTTCTCTGGATGATATCATTGTAAGTCACTTGTTAGGTATCTCTATATGACATCATTGTAAGTCACTTGTTAGGTATCTCTATATGACATCATTGTAAGTCACTTGTTAGGTATCACTATACGACATCATTGTAAGTCACTTGTTAGGTATATCTACATGATATTGTAAGTCACTTGTTAGGTATCTCTTTATGTCATCATTGTAAGTCACTTGTAAAGTATCTCTACATGACATCATTGTAAGTCACTTGTTCTATGTCACATCACTGCAGGGCTCGAGCTGTGATTCGCCATTGTCGCCAATTGCGAATTTTTTTCAAAAGTGGCGAAAAGAAATTCATAAGTGGCGAAAATGAATTTTTTAGATGTACCATGTACAAATTTTGTGTAGACCTGATTAGCTCCTTTGTTTATTTAATGTATACAGATAAGTCCCTCTGTTTATTTAATGCAGCAGAGGTGTGAAAACTGAAACCTACATGTAGGAAATCACGTCTCGCTTGAACGAACACAGCTGACTAGGTAATTATCCTGGAGCAATAAACGGTTACAAAATTGCTTGAAATAATATAATTTGGATTAAACAAGGGGGATAAAGTGTTATTAGGAGATGAAGTTTGTAAATAAAAGATTTTTATCAACAAAATATGGATCTATTTAGATCGTTTTTTTTAACCGAAAGTAGGGAAAGATGACGAAAATTGTAAAGAATGGCTTCAAATTTTACCTAATGAAAGTTGAAAAATGTGCACATTATACCATAAGCTGACATAGAGTGAAAAAGAAATTGGTTTGAAAACAGAATTATCTAAGAAGATAACACTGATTTATTTACATGAGCTTGCATATTAAACCCTGGAGTCTCCAAGTTGTGAAAATAAAGTCAAGTTTTAAACCTTATTTTCATTACTTTTTAATAACTTCTTTTCACAATCAATTAATGAAATGATGAAAATTTCCATTTCTAAAAAATGTCATATATTTTCTATTAGGTCTGTAGCCCCCCCCCCCCCCCCCCCTTCCCAGACAAAACAAAAAATATAATAATCATGAGGAGATTTTCTGTCAAGAGTTGGCTGATATCAATTCAATATCAAATTAATTGTATAATTCCAACAGTACTTTTTCTTTCTTTTTTTAAATGGATACTGTAAGCTTTAAACATTACAATTTTAAAACAATGTCTGTGATATATTTGTAACAGGAAACCATTACATATTAATAAAAAAAAATTGAATAACATTAAAGTGCATTGCATTGTCGAGAAATCAGATGTAAGTATGCCTTTCCTTTTGTCGCGAAAAGTGGCGAAAAACATTTTCGGTCCAGTGGGAGCCCTGCATCATTGTAAGTCATTGTTGGGTATTTCTTTATGACATCATTGTAAGTCACTTGTTAAGTATATCTATATGATATCATTGTAAGTCACTTGTTAGGTATATCTATATGATATCATTGTAAGTCACTTGTTAGGTATCTCTATATGACATCATTGTAAGTCACTTGTTAGGTATCTCTATATGACATCATTGTAAGTCACTTGTTAGGTATCACTATACGACATCATTGTAAGTCACTTGTTAGGTATATCTACATGATATTGTAAGTCACTTGTTAGGTATCTCTTTATGTCATCATTGTAAGTCACTTGTAAAGTATCTCTACATGACATCATTGTAAGTCACTTGTTCTATGTCACATCATTGTAAGTCATTGTTGGGTATTTCTTTATGACATCATTGTAAGTCACTTGTTAAGTATATCTATATGATATCATTGTAAGTC